GCAAATAGTTAATTACGGTCTTGCTCGTTTTTTAAATCTTAAAAATTTTCTGAATTTTAAAAATTTATATTTTAAAAATTTTCAGAATTTTGAAAAATTTCAATGTTTTTAATATCTTGTTAGATCACAATTTTAAAAATTTATGACATATAAATCCGAACACCCAGTTTAAATGGTTTTATTTTAATAAAAGTTGGTGAATGTATTTATCTTACTGTAAATAACAAGTGAAAAAATTTTCAGCCTTATCAGTTGGACATTCCGGTTTTTATACTGCTTTTTTTAATTCACTAACGCTCTAAAAATGAATACTTCAGCCGCAGTAAAGAATCAACGTTGGCGGATTTTGGTTCTTGACATCCTTTACGATCGGTTACGATGCCTAGAGTACGGAGACCTGTACGATTTCGTCAACTTAGTGAGTTTGATAGGGGCCGTATAGTGGGACTTCGGGAAGTTGGACCTTCTTTTCGGGCAATTGCAATTAGAGTGCAAAGAAGTGTAGACACTGTGGTTAGGTGTTGTCAGTCATGGCTTCGAGAAGGCCGTACGCAAAGAGCAAGGGGCACTGGACGCCGCCGTAGAACAACAGACCGTGAAGATCGCCGCCTAAGATTATTGGCCTTAAGGGACCGTTTCTCCACTACCAGGTCCATTGCAAATGAATGGTTTGCAGAACACGGAAGACGTATTGGCATGCGAAGTGTTTACCGACGAATGAGAAGTTTTGGCTTGTTTTCATACCGGCCACACTGGGTCCTCCCTTTAACTCGAGAACACCGACGTAATCGCCTTGGGTGGTGCAGACAACGGTGACTCTGGGATCAGGAATGGAACAGTATTGTCTTTAGTGACGAGTCTCGATTTTGTTTAGGCATGCACGATGGTCGTGCCAGGGTTAGAAGGCGACGTGGTGAAAGGAGGAATCCACAGTTTTTTGTTGAAAGACATGTTCATCACACTGTTGGAGTTATGGTTTGGGGTGCTATAGCTTATGGTTCCAGGTCACCTTTAATCTTCATCAGAGGTAACATGAACGCGCAGCGTTATATCCACGAAGTTCTAGAACCCCATCTTTTACCCTATCTTGACACCCTGGCAGATCCAACTTTCCAACAAGATAATGCCCGACCACATGTTGCAAGAGTCACAATAGACTTCTTTCAACATAATGATGTCACATTGTTACCATGGCCACCAAGATCTCCCGACTTATCCCCAACTGAGCACGTGTGGGATATGATGGGTAGGAGATTGCTCAGTTTGCAACGTCCTCCTCAGACTCTAGAAGCACTTCGAGAGGAGTTGGTGGTTGCCTGGAATGAGATACCACAGGAGGACATTGACCACCTGATCAGAAGCATGCCTAGGCGCGTTGGAGAATGCGTAGCACATCAGGGTGCATCCCCACATTATTAAAGGTCAAAGGGCTTTAAAGCAGTGCAATCATTTTGAAATTTTTATCATTTACTTATTATGCTTCATTAAGTACTTATACAAAATTTTATTAAAATAAAACCATTTAAACTGGGTGTTCGGATTTATATGTCACTTAGTATATGCAAAATCATCAGAATTTTCAAAATGTATGTATTTTTAAAATCTGCAAAATTCCCAAACGTTTCAAAATTTTCGTAGTATTGAAAATTTTCAGAATATTCAGTTTTAAAAATTTTCAGTTTCAAAAATTTTTAAAACCTTATAAGTAGACCTACATAATGTCAAAGAAAAATCCCTGCCCCTGCCGACTTCTGGTCGAAGCCTTTTTTACCTTCGTTCAACGAGTGATTGGAAAATTTCAAGAATTTCCAATGTTTTTGAAATATTCAAAATTTCCAGGATTTTCATAATTCTTAAAGCTTCCAAAGTTCTAAAAAATTTCGATGTTTCCAAAATTTGTTTGATCCAAATCTCCAAAATTTTAAAATTTCAAACCTTCAAAAATTTTCAAATTTCCAAAATTTACAAATTTCAAAAATTTTCATACTCTCAAATTTTTTAAATATTTTCAACATCCTAAAATTATCTGTTTTCATAATTCGCAAAACATTCTGTCATAATTTTAAATTTTCACATTTTTTTTTTCTTTCCCAGATTCTTTTTTGCATCCTGGCTTACTCAGAAAACAAGTCTATCCGGTCAAAAAAAAATTAATCTTCTCTAGGAAGTATTGTAAAACATAAAAAGCGCCAAAGTTGTATACAAAAACAAGCTAAATGTAGAAATTTTAATTGTATGATCCTGTTTTTTTTTTGTTATACATGTTATAACTATTCTCAGAAGGCGTAACTTTTTCAGAAAAAGATCCTTCAAGGGCTGATGAGTTAAAGTACTCGACATCATTTTTATTAATCAAATAAATTTTTCTGACACTCATATTTCGTTCTCTCAATTATAATAAAAATATAGCGTCGCTGATTCAGCTATAACCTACAAAAATTCTAGATCCAAAGCTGTACAGCGCCGCCAGAAAATAACTTTTGATTATTGTTTTGTTGAGTACTTCAACGTAAGAAAACGTTGGAAGTTTTTAATATCGCTCTGCCCAAATCGCTTCCATTTAGCTCCTTGTTTATTTTTCATTTCGTACGGTTTCTCGCCAACCAACAGAGAAATTATCGGCTTCGCATTTTTCATTCATCAACGAGGTATTAAAGATTCTACCAGAGAGACTTCTGCTATTTATATTTTAATTTCCCAGAGGCCTCAAAGTTATAAAAATAATTATACAGGATACAGGATCTGGGTACGTCAATTTAAAATGCTAAGTGTCACTTCACTTCATACTGTAATTTATGTAACATACATTTGTTATTTTTACTCAAATCCTGGAAATATTAATAAAGCAGTAGTAAGGAATAAAGTTACATACAGTACTTTTCAAAAAGGTCAGGCCCACCTATTTTTTTGAATAGGTCAAGTTAACAAGCTGAAATTTCGTGTGATCAAATTTACACATACAGGTAATTACTATCATAACACCCTCTATAGTGCGGTAGTTGAAGGACAAGCTAGTGTTTCAGTTCATGTATTTGTAAGCTTTGTACCATGTGTTGCCAGATTTTAGGATACGAATGTGTCAGTTAGTTGACAGGTAGTAAGTTGGAGGCGGAGATTATTTATAACAAAAAACGGAGTTAAAAGGCCTTGATCAGAAGTCGGCAGGGATAATACGAATCTGGATAAGTAACATGTCGATCTTTTTGATATTATGTAGGTTTACCTATAAAATTTTCAATATTTTGGAAACTGAAAATTTTTAAAACTGAAAATTCGGAAAATTTTCAATACTATGTAATGAAAATTTTGAAACGTTTGAGAATTTTGAAGCTTTTGTAAATTCAGAAACTTCTGAAAATGTTGCATATTTTGAAGATTTTGAGTAATTTGAAATTTGAAAATTGCAAAAATTTTCAAAATTTTGTAAATATGAAAATTTTTATGAAACAAAATTTTGATAATATTGAAATTTCAAAATATTGAAATATTTCAGAATTCAGAAAATTTTTGAAACTGAAAATTTGGAAAATGTGAAATTTTGAACACAACGTAAATTTTGAAAATCTTGAAAATGTAAAAGATTTTGAAAATTCAGAAAATATAGAACAGTTTGAAAATTTTGAAAATTTGGAAAATTTGGAAAAATATGAAAATTTTGAAAATTTTGAAAATTTTGAAAATTTTGAAAATTTTCAAATTGTTTCATATTTTTAGAATTTTCAAAATCTTACATTTTCAAGATTTTCAAAATTTACATTGTGTTCAAAATTTGACATTTTCCAAATTTTCAGTTTCAAAAATTTTCTGAATTCTGAAATATTTCAATATTTTGAAATTTCAATATTATCAAAATTTGGTTTCATAAAAATTTTCATATTTACAAAATTTTGAAAATTTTTGCAATTTTCAAATTTCAAATTACTCAAAATCTTCAAAATATGCAACATTTTCAGAAGTTTCTGAATTATTTACAAAAGCTTCAAAATTCTCAAACGTTTCAAAATTTTCATTACATAGTATTGAAAATTTTCCGAATTTTCAGTTTTAAAAATTTTCAGTTTCCTAAATTTTGAAAATTTTGAAAATCTTGAAAATTTTGAAAATTTTGAAAATATAGAAAATTTTGAAAATTTTGAAAATATTGAAGATATTGAAAATTTAGGAAATTTAGAAAATTTAGAAAATTTAGAAAATTTAGAAAATTTAGAAAATTTGGAAAATTTAGAAAATTTTGAAAATTTAGAAAATTTAGAAAGTTTAGAAAATTTAGAACATTTAGAAAATTTAGAAAATTTAGAAAATTTAGAAAATTTAGAAAATTTAGAAAATTTAGAAAATTTAGAGAATTCAGAAAATTCTGAAATTTAGAAAATTTAGAAAATTTAGAAAATTTAGAAAATTTAGAAAATTTAGAAAATTTTGAAAATTTAGAAAATTTAGAAAATTTAGAAAATTTAGAAAATTTAGAAAATGTAGAGTATTTAGAAAATTTAGAAAATTTAGAAAATTTAGAAAATTTCGACAATTTTGAAAATTTTGAAAATTTTGAAGTTTGAAAATTTTGAAAATTTCGAAAATTTTAAAAATATGAAAATATTGTAATTTTTAAAATTGTCGTGAAACAAGATTTTAAAAATATTGAAATTTTTCATAATTTTGAAAATTTTCAAAACTGAAAATTTTTAAGATTTTGAAGATTGAAATCTTGAAAATTCCTCTACAGGAGACGCTTATAACGAGCAAGATATACTCATCAAGTTGAAATTTTGTCCATTTTTTGACATTATCAACATTATTTCCAAGATTTTGAAAATTCAGAAAATCTGGAAAATAATGAAAATTCTGATATTTTTGCATATTGGGAATCTTGAAAAAATGAAATTTTTCAAAATTTTGAAAATTGTAAATTTCGAAAATTTTGAAAATAAGTGAACCTACCTAGTCACGATTCCATTCCTCCTTTTGAAACGATTTTTCTAATTTCTTCTCTTTCAAACCTCCAACGAATACGTAGGAATTATACAGTCAATCTACTTGACGTCATTTTTTATGTACTTGTTTTCGAAACCTAGCTAATCCGAATTCGTTGGTTCCATCAGCAGCCGCGAGAGCCAGCATGGCCTTGGCAGGCATTCCCCTCGCTCTACTGCCCTTTTCTGCTCTCCCTTTTCCACAAACCTTCGTCGCCCTTTGCTGGTATTCCCAGCAGGGGGCACATGTATTGCCTGCAAAATGTTGCGATATCTGGATGATTTACGCCTTATAACTAAGCTGTGGATTTTTTGTACACGCACCGCAGGAGCGACAGGAATAAGGACGTCTATACTTTTATACCATCGGAATAGGTCCACTTTTTATCCGCAAGTGCTTCTATAGCTTTACATGAGTTGTCGATTTCTGAAATGGATACGCTATAAAAGTAAACGTGCGGTGTATAGCATCGGTTTATTTCCCACGTGGTATTTTTTAGGTTTTTTATACTATTTACTAAGCATATTTGATATTGATCAGAGCAGTGCATAGAGCAGTTTACAATTACGATTTCGATTAAATCGGTCATTTAGAGAGTGTTTGATGCTATCGTTTTGCTGATCGTGATGAGCTTTATTTTGCGGGACAACAGGACAAACCTTCGTTATCGGTTACCGAAATAAAAGCACAGAGAATATGTATTCAGCGCTAAAGGCAGTCTGTCAATAACAATACAAAACTTTGTTCATAATGATAAAAATTTCAAAATGATTGCACTGCTTTAAAGCCCTTTGACCTTTAATAATGTGTGGATGCACCCTGATGTGCTACGCATTCTCCAACGCGCCTAGGCATGCTTCTGATCAGGTGGTCAATGTCCTCCTGTGGTATCTCATTCCAGGCAACCACCAACTCCTCTCGAAGTGCTTCTAGAGTCTGAGGAGGACGTTGCAAATTGAGCAATCTCCTACCCATCATATCCCACACGTGCTCAATTGGGGATAAGTCGGGAGATCTTGGTGGCCATGGTAACAATGTGACATCATTATGTTGAAAGAAGTCTATTGTGACTCTTGCAACATGTGGTCGGGCATTATCTTGTTGGAAAGTTGGATCTGCCAGGGTGTCAAGATAGGGTAAAAGATGGGGTTCTAGAACTTCGTGGATATAACGCTGCGCGTTCATGCTACCTCTGATAAAGATTAAAGGTGACCTGGAACCATAAGCTATAGCACCCCAAACCATAACTCCAACAGTGTGATGAACATGTCTTTCAACAAAAAGCTGTGGATTCCTCCTTTCACCACGTCGCCTTCTAACCCTGGCACGACCATCGTGCATGCCTAAACAAAATCGAGACTCGTCACTAAAGACAATACTGTTCGATTCCTGATCCCAGAGTGACCGTTGTCTGCACCACTCAAGGCGATTACGTCGGTGTTCTCGAGTTAAAGGGAGGACCCAGTGTGGCCGGTATGAAAACAAGCCAAAACTTCGCATTCGTCGGTAAACACTTCGCAAGCCAAAAGGTCTTCCGTGTTGTGCAAACCATTCATTTGCAATGGACCTGGTAGTGGAGAAACGGTCCCTTAAGGCCAATAATCTTAGGCGGCGATCTTCACGGACTGTTGTTCTACGGCGGCGTCCAGTGCCCCTTGCTCTTTGCGTACGGCCTTCTCGAAGCCATGCCTGACAACACCTAACCACAGTGTCTACACTTCTTTGCACTCTAACTGCAATTGCCCGAAAAGAAAGTCCAGCTTCCCGAAGTCCCACTATACGGCCACTATCAAACTCACTAAGTTGACGAAATCGTACAGGTCTCCGTACTCTAGGCATCGTAACCGATCGTAAAGGATGTCAAGAACCAAAATCCGCCAACGTTGATTCTTTACTGCGGCTGAAATATTCATTTTTAGAGCGTTAGTGAATTAAAAAAAAAAAAGTATAAAAACCGGAAAGTCCAACTGATAAGGCTGAAAATTTTTTCACTTGTTATTTACAGTAAGATAAATACATTCACCAACTTTTATTAAAATAAAACCATTTAAACTGGGTGTTCGGATTTATATGTCACTTAGTATATAACAGCAGAAATACTGTTGCACTAAATAACCAAATACAACGGAAACGATTTAATCTACATTGAAACCTTGTCAATATACGACCGAAGCTCGATTTTTCGGGCTGTCCGTAGGGAGTTGAAGTTAATAATTGCCGTACATAGAGCGATTTAGAATTTTTGTCGCTCTAGCGAGAAAAATAAACCTTTCTGATAAAGGCTGCGATACGATATGTCGATGTGAAAAAAAGCGAATGACATAAAACGTTATCAACTTAGTGGAGATGAGCGCGACGCTATATTTTCATTGTAATGGAAATGCGGAACGGATAAAATTTTCATAGGGCTCCATTTTTTGGCCGAAAAAGATGCTGTTAAGTCGGGGCTGCATTGTGGGTGATCCAGTAATTCGCAATTTGTTTAGTTGAGTGAGGCCGAGCGTTGTCGTGAAGCAGCTGAGCGCACTTCACAATTGACGGAATTACCGACAGATACATGAAACGTAATGGCGGCGTATTGAGAGGCTGACCAAGAGTGTTTGAGGTTGAATACACGTAACGTGACAGGACGCACGCGCATGATTACTTTGAAAATGGCCCTCGTACATATAACAGTTCAGTGAAAATTATACAGAGTGGCGTATCGAAAACGAAACAGACGCATTTACTGGTAGCTCAGTTTTTTTTGGAAAAACGCTCAGACCCGTCGTTTTTGTTTTCGTGGGGGACACAAGTTTGGCAAAAAATCACGTTAACACGTGTAGCCCCCTGGACGGGGGCGACACCACCCCCAAAACCTTAAATGGAAAGGGGATCGAGTGATACCTTATTTTAAAGGTCTTTCAATTCCTTTTATAATGATGTAAAATACATGAGCTTCAGTTCAGTAGTTTTGAAGATTTATTGATTTAAAGCTTAAAGTAGATAGGTATGGTGTATCTGAAGTCACTTGAAATAGCATAAAAACCTTTGGTCGGCGCGTCCTTTGTAATTTCATGACGTATCATAGGCGTGCGGCATTTATTTAGAACGATAATAATAATGTTTTTATATCACAATAAATGGATTTTACTATCTTCTTATTTTTTTGATTTGGGATAAAAAATACTTATATTGGGAGTTTAATTTATGTTGACTGAAAGTTAAGAAATGGAAAAATTACAGAATTCCAACGTTTGACTTAGGCAAATATTTACATAGCAGGTAGGTATATAAAAAGGTATAATATAAAGACTTACATTATAGGTATTTATATATCATCCTCGCCTTCGGAGCTGTCGCTAGAGTCATCTTGTAGAGGAATTACAACAGGATTTACAGGAGGCAAAACACAATATTCATTTTCTTTTTCAATAATATGCCTAGAACACTGCTTCCATAGGTCTGTGGCAGCAATATGAGATACTGCATCTCTTATTGTGACCAATAGCGATTCACTTAATTGAGGGGTCTGATTATGTTTTCTTACTTTTTTTTTAAAGCAGCCCAGACCAACTCAATCGGGTTAAAAATGCAGTAATAGGGAGGTAGACGTAATACTTCATGGCCATTTTGCTGAAGCAGATTGTCAACAACATACTCTTTTTCAAATTTTTGTCTTTTAATAAGATCCAATAATATGGCTTTGGTTGATTTTTGTGGTATTTCCATTCCCTTATCCTTCATAAAATCAATAATGTCTTGTTTTTTTGTGCCTGTATTCGGAATTTTGTTTTTCTGTCGGGAATGGTATGGCGCATTGTCCATAGTAATCACTGAATTTAAGGAACTGTTTGGTATTAACTGCTGCTCTATCCACTTTTCAAATAAGTCGGAGGTCATGTCCTCATGATAGTCGGCACATGATTCTTTGATATTTTTGGCAGATAACGGCAAGGCATTAGGTATAAATCCATTTTCACTGCCAGCATGGAGAATAATGATTCGTTTTCCACGGTTGCATGGTGCATTTAAAATGCACTTGGTGCTGTCGTCAACCCAGCCGTACTTCACAACATCATGGGTATCATACCACGTTTCATCCAGGTAAATCAGATTTCTTTTCTGCTCTCTATAGATTTTAACTTTGTGCAAAAATTCTTGGCGCAATTCAACGATTCGAGACGACTCCATAATCACCATTCTTTTATCTAATTTTTTGTATTGAAAACCACACAGTTTTACAATACAGTGCAGTGAGTCTAAGCATTTGTAATTATAAAAATCTTCAGGATAATCTTTTAATTTATCCCGTATCATTTCCAACGTGGGCACCAAATTTTCTTTATAAAATCCGTATATTATACGACGAATATCTTCCTGAAAACCCGCGTCTATTCTTTTTAATTTTTGCCCTATGCGCTTTCTGTGGAAGGAATGGTTGACTACATCTCCCCTTTTTATAACCCGATAAATGGTAGACCGACTGATTTTTGTCAGGATACAAATTCTGTTTAAAATTTGATTTTGCGAGGAATCTGGATTTTCGTTTTTCAGGCAATCATACATATTTAGGATTACTCTTTAAGTCTGTTCCTCTAAATCTTTATGAAAGAATTCTGCCTGCACAGGTTCATCAACCATCTCCTCGTGGCTTGGAGCATTTTCCCAAGGTCTCCAAAGAGCCATATTTAGGAAACACAAGAACAATCAACACAACAATAATTAAATCAACAAGTAAACTGAGTATTCAAAAGTCAAAAACACACAAACTAATAAAATCTATGAAAAAACACGGACAGACTAAAGTAAACACGTTTATTCACCGCTCCACGGCACTGGCTAAACTGTTTCAATTTTCAGTAGCCACCTGCACTTGTTCCGAGCTCTGAAATACACGCTTTCTCATTGGCTATGTCCACGCATAGGCGTGCTTTACTCCACGTGGACCGGTGAAACTGCCTTTGATCTCTTATACGGGGGATATTTGCTGCGAAATTGGGCGATTTTTGCAGCAACAGAGCGTGTTAAATATAGATATATAAAACGCACCCGGTATTTCACAGTGTTTCAAGTGACTTCAGATAAAGTATACTTGTCTTAGAAATATTAGTCAGAGCGATTCTACTGGTCATATATCGTAATTATTCTCAGAATCAATGTTGGAAAACAAATACACATACTGGTCGGTAACCGCCCACGAAGTTGCAACGCTGGCACCAAAAGACGGTGACCCATCTGCCCCACGTTTTCAGACGCCCATGTCTCAAGCTAT